ACTTAGACCAAAACACCAACGTCTAAGTCCATTTATTCAATGTGAAAGGAACCACATGCTAAGAAATAATTGGTTTAACAAAACACGAGTACCACAGTTGCTGCCATCCTGCTGTTAACATATTGAGCAAACCATTGTTTCTAACAGGACAGCATTCTATCTTCTATAATAGTTGCTAGAAAAAAAATTAAACTCTATAGGGATATGTTTTTGGTTATTTAAAATATCCCTATATTTAAGTAGACATGAAAAAACAAACATCACAAACAGGAAATAAAAACTTTTCCTCTGCATAAGCTATAAAAAGGTTTAAACCAAGTGTTGCAGGACTCTTCCTGTTCTAACCAGGTCAACTCTTTAACTCTCAGTTCCTATAACTCGAATCTTATCAAGAACTGTTGGAGCTGCTTTTGTATTCAAACAGACCAAAAAGCTGTCCACACACACAGCAGCAGAAAGGGAAGTCATGTCCTCTGTGTGTGTGCATGTGTGTGTATGTGTGTGTGTGTGTGTGTGTGTGTGTGTGTGTGTGTGTGTTACCACATCTTCTCTGCACTGGTCACACGCCGGCTGCTGTGGGAAGAAACTTCTAGAGAAGTGTCACATCAACCTGAGCCGCAGTGTTTTCTGAAGACAGACTCCAGAAATGACTTCAGCTGTTTGTCGTGAAGTTAGGAAGAAGTGTTGACATGCTGTCCTGTCCCGCCTTTGTTCCCAGGAGTGGCTCATCAATGAGAAGCAGCTGGACGTGTTTGGAATGAAGCTTCCTACTGGCTTCCAGCTCATTGGACAAGTGGTTAGTGTCTGTTCCTGGGATCTGAAACAGGTTTAATGTTGCGTCTCCCCACCTAACCCTCAGAACTGGAAAGCTCAGACTGCTGCATCCTAGGTGCACAAAGAAGCATAATCCCAGATCCTTCCTCTGAGCAGCTGTTAGACTTTATAACCATCACTTCTCCCAACAAACTTAAATTCAAAAACTTAAGGAAAAATTCTTGTAAATAGTCTGTTGCTTTTTTCTATGTAGAAATATACACATTTTGACATTTTGTATATCAATACATTTGTTTTGACTGAAGTATGCTTTAATATTACAATCTGTAAAAAAAAAAAAAAATTGAGCTCCTTTGCTTCTGTCACTTGCAAAAATACGCCGCTTCCAGTCAGAAACAACCAATCAGAGCGTGGAGGAAGGTCTTAGCGCTGTCAATCACCCTTGTGTATGCGCTGCAAATGTTCCAGGAAGACTGTTTATCCGCCATCAACGATGGCAAAGCTAACTAGCCTGAGCATTTGAGCGTTCACCACAGGCTGGTAAACTAGCTGTAGCATAGCAACAAGCAAAGAAGAGGGTGCGAGCAGCGCTTACAAGAGAAGATTGTCGGCGCTAAAACCCTCCTCCTGACTCTGATTGGTTGTTTCTGACTTGTATTTCTGCAGGTGGCAGTAGGAACAGAGAGGAGGCAGAGGAGCTTGATTTTTCTTTTTTTATTCTTTTTTTCACATATTATCTGCCTTATATTAATCTGTCATGACATAGTGACAGTTTTAACAGATATCTTAATAAAACTATTTTTATAAATGCTACCTCAGTAATAGTAATTGATTTTTCTTTCTGTGCTAATGAACTCTGGGAAGATATCTAAGTAACGCTTAAACATTAAGAATTCAGTTATGATAAAGTTCCCAAAGCATCTGAGAAACTTCTTTATTTTGATAGGGCTTGTCAGACTACACAAAGTGGCTGACTCACTACTCCACCAAGAAACAGGACAACCCCGCTCAACCAATCACATGCCGCTCATATGCCAGGTAGGACAGCCAGGTGTGAAACGTCACTCTTTTCTTAGAATGTTAAAACTCATCAAGATGAAGTTCTTAATACAGATTTCCTCATCTTGAATCACAGGGTTGGATTAATGGGAAATCCCTCAGATGGTTTCAATGGGAAAACCATCGCCATGACCATCTCTAACTTTTGGGCTGAGGTTACTCTGGTGGAGAGTCAGATTCTGGTAACACGCCGTTTTCCGTAGACCACCTTCACTGGCGGCACGTTGAACTGAAATGCTAACTCTTTGTGGTTTCCAGGCTTTAGTCCCTCACCCACTGAATGATCCCACAGAGTTTGGCAGTCTGCAGGATCTGTTCTGCATCAGCAGGAGGGAGGGGTGAGGGACCCTAGATATGAGCCAAGCTACGGGACGGCGTTGATCCCGTTCATACAAACAGTTCTGCTTCTGTTGTGAATTTTGTAGGTACCTGGGAGGTCTGCGGCTGCTGCAGGCTACGTGTAAGAAGTTCTACCAGTTCTGCTCCAAACGAGGGTGAGGCTGTTAGCTCCCTTATTCTGGTGGCGTTGTAAAGTTTGTCTAGTCTGGATTGCTTCAAATTCTGTTTGTTTTATATGTCTGTGTACTTATTTTCACTACATTCACCATTATTGGCATTTCCATGGAAGGACAAATATCTGATTTATTTAATTTCCCTTTGGGATCAATAAAATATTTGAAATTTAGTTTTGTTTTGAATTTCAAGTAGTAAAAAGTCCATTTTTAAACGTAGTTGAAATAAGAATCACACTTCACTTTGGATTAAACTATTTCTGTCACCGATTAATTCACAAATAATTAAAATCAACAGCTCAGAACTTTTCTTTCCATTTATCAATTTTTATTATTAATGTTTTCTCACATAACCATTTCATAATTTTCTTGTTTTCTTAATTTACATAAAGTATAAATAAACAAAATGATCAGCACTACATTTAACAAGAAAACTCAGCTCTGCATCCATCATGCTTTTTCTTAAGCTAGCAGCCAAGCTAAGCTAACTGCTAAGCTTTGCTGTGCTAACCTGTCCCAGACTGTTGTTGCTATACAGCATCTGCTGTTAAAGCATAAAACAGCTTGTCAAATTCACAAAATAATGCAATCCAACCAAAGCACAGAAACTTCATATTTGTTTTACGGAGTTCTGAAAACGACATAAAACATGTTTGCTGCTCAGACCTCCTGGAAGAAAATTCTCAAATTTACTGATAACATTTTCCTCTTATTCATTGAACTTCTTTTTTAGCATTGCTACACTCAGTTCTTATTTCACTTTCTTTTGCTGCAGCATTGCTTTAACGAAGCAGAACTTCACCCTGAAGTATGACACCAACATCCCTCGGCAAGTGGTGAGGATCGGTACAGACAGACAGAACAACTGGTGTTTCACTGCATGATTAGCACCGGTTATGTAGCAACATGTTCAGTTGTTCTGATGAAACCCTTTCTCTTTCTGTTTAGGGCCTAGCTGGAAGCAGGTATATAGTTTGTTTCCCACATATTCCTATTTAATCATTTTCATTCTGAGCAGAATAAATACTTTCTACTATCATTCTACCATCTCAGTGCCATAGTTTCAGCTACTCTGAAGTGTCTCATGGAGTTCTACAACATCACTGACAATGTAAGAGCATAAAACCACGACCGCTCTTATCCTGCTTATCAGATGGATTAGAGCAGACTGCTGAGTTTTCCTCTTAATTTCTTTTTTTGTTGTTTTGAAGGATCTTCCCAAACCGATCCGAGCCAACTTCATCCTGAGTGTGGAGACCGATGAGCTGTTCATCACGGCTGGCCTGCAGGACAGAGTGGTGCAGGTCAGTGAACCCCTGGTGAAATTTTTGAAATCAGCTATTTACAAGAGAAGGATTAGGGAATTTTCAACAGTAATGGTAAAAAGAACGTAAACCCTCTGTCAATTCTAATATTGATCTGATAAAATTTTCCTAAATGTGTTTTAACTCCAGTGAAAAAAAACCACCACACCAATATCACCTTGTCATTATTTATTAAGCCCACAGATGAAGCCAAAATGGAGAATCATACATGTGTACAAAATATATAAAAATCTAAAACTTTAGGTTTTTATGTAGATGAGTAGGCTAATCTTGACTTCAAACAGAAGATACTCAGCGTTCAGGAAGTGAAGTGGTCAACAGTAAACTGGGAGCAGGCTTCTGTTTTCTCCAGATTCTCCATTTCAGTTTCTCCTGAAGATGGATCTCAAATCTGGGAATAATTTGAGATCCAAAAACTTGTTCTAAGTTTTTCTATATTCCAATAGCAGCTTGGGAAAAGCAATAGGATTCACTAATTATGTGGCCAGGCTAACAGTTAACAAGACAAGCTAATAACAATGTGTTTCTCTGGATATTAGATGCATTCAAATACTAAAGAAACATCTTGTGTGGATTTTATGCCAAAGTGTGTGTTTTTTTTAATAATCCAAATGGTAGCGGACATACCTCGAACCTTATCTATCTGGAATTCCAAATTAGTTTTTTTTTTTCCTGCTTATTTTTCCAATTTTGAACTTAGGAGCTGTGCTCAGTGCAGCTAAGCTACTTCTTTTCATCAAAGCAGCAGTACCACTTATTTAAAATGTTTTTGTTTCATACGAACTGAAAGGTACTGCCGTTTCTAAATGTCTGCCAGTATGGTAGTTATTATATAATGAAGTGGGCCTTGTTCTAAGAGGTTTGAGAACCTGTTTGGAACAACACTGACAGGAAACATGGTCCCTCTGTCCTTGCAGGTGTATGAAGGTTTGGTCTACATGGATTTCAGCAAGAAGCTCATGGATGAGCAAGGCTACGGTACTGATGTCAATAAGTAAACAGATGAAATGTGGTAGTTTCATAAAACAGTTTTAGACACAGAATATAACTTTGAATATAATTTACTTTTAACTACTGCATTATGTAATGTATCCTTATGTCATGTTGTAAGAGTTGCCGTTGCTGTTTGGCTCGTTGTCAGGTGGATCTTGAAGGAACAAGGTGCTGCAGTGGGTAATTCTTCCTGTGGGGTTTGTCCTCTCTCAGGGAACTACGCTTCTATGGACATGAGTGACCTTCCACGGTTCTGGCTGGCCTACCTGAGTGACCCCAGCGACTCTGGACGTATCCATAGCAACATCCGGCAGCGTTGGCTCAGTGGTGCGTCTTCCAGTCCAACAGCTTATGTGTGGTTGTTTGGAGTAGGAGGGGAATGACTCTCGTCTCTTAAGGCGCTTTTTGAATACTGATTTATAAAAGACCAGTAAAGTTTGGCATGCTTGTATTTCCTACAGAAAGTAAGCTGCCAAACTGAATGTTTTTTTTTTTAACCATTCCTTGACTTTATTGTTTTAAGTTCAAACAATACTACTTTGAGAACCTTTAAGCTGAAAACCTCTTTGCTGCTCTTCTTAAACTGCTTTCATATTGGTTGTCTACCTTCAGGGGAGCCAGTGGTTGTTGAGGCCATGAAGACCTTTGCTGAGCTCACAGACCAGGCGAGGTAGGTCCTCACCAAAAAATCCTAAGTATTTGAAGAAGTGTTTGCCACTCAAAATCTAAAAATTATTATTTTCTGTCCTGTAAATAACTTATGATATGGTATAGGGCATTACATTATTTCTTTATGAAATCAAAATTTTTAAGCTCCGATTGGGGGAAGAAGTATCAGCTAGGATGTCACATAAAGTTACAGTAATGACTCAGACTGGTGCCTCACTATACTTTATCTTAAACTCCAATCTGGTACTGATATTAGAAATGATGAATGATAGCTGCAGTAATAAGCTGCTGATTTGCATTTTTTTGGTATATTGAATCACATAAGTCACACACCATGAATTCAGCTGTACTGTACTCTTGCTCTCGATGAAGGTGGACACTTCTTTCCTCTGCTCCCTCCCTGCCCATGCCTGCCCTGGTTTCTCTGTTTTTGTCCCGTCTTTTTCTATATTTTTGGAGCCTTTCTTTGCACATCATCCAAATCTACAAATTATGGATCTGGTCAACTGATCTCTCAATGCAATTGATCCAATTTTCTCAACGAGAAGTCTGGGCACAGGAGAGCCCTCTTGTCCTGCGGGGACACACCCAGCAGGATTCACCCTGGATTTATTCATGATAACAGGATTTCTGCTGTTTGGAGCTTGTGGATTCCTGGCTTGTCGACAAATTTGTGACAGACTTGGCCGAACTAGTGAACACTCAGACTGTTGGTGTGGATAGAGACGAGGACTCTAAAACTCACTAACGGGCTGGAATAGATCTTGGAGAAGTTACTAGTTTCGGCTCAGTGGAACGACCAAACTAATTTGGATGATTGGAACTGAGATGTATCAGAGAGACTTTAGGGAAAATTGAAATTTATAATCTTCCTGACCTAAGACATTCTGTTTCTGAATTGGCTTTCCCCGTGTGGCTGTGGGAGGGCTGCATATTTCTAATCTCCTTGAAGATATGTAAACACAATGCTCTTCCCTCCTCACCCCCTCCTGTATCCATGGAGTTGCGAAGCTGAACGCTCCTAAGGACATCATGTCTTGATTACAACATCTTTATCGGACTTTGCCAGGGGCTCAGTAACGTGGTTTCATGGCTCTTTGACGTCATCGCCTTCACTCGTGTCTTTGTTTTGCCCATTGTTTTGTCTGAATGTTGCCATTTGCCCTAATGTGTCCTTTCCTCTTTTTCTAGTGAAAAAGAGGAAAGAGGTGGAGTTTAACCCAGAAAAGGATTATTTTAGTTTATTAGTGATATCAGAAATTGTGGAGTACGCACTATTTAGATCAATATTATACAGCCCATAAATGGAATCAGAATTAGAATTAGAATAACTACAAACTTAGAATCCAGAAATACTTAACAGGAACAGTCGCTGCTTAGTTTATATTACTTTTAACCCAGAAAAGTATTTAGAACAAACTTAGAATTGTAGAGTACTCACTTTAACCCAGAAAATGAATTAGATCAGTCATTCTTTAGCTTATTTTACCAGAAACTGTAGAGTACTCACTGTTTAGAAATGGAATTAGATACTTAGCAACCCTGAACAGGAGCA